ACTTTCTATACCCTAAGGTAAAAATGTTTCTAAAATAAATTTAAACTCAGACATTGTGAACTGTTTTAGTCTAGTACAGGCATTTTAATTACTAGTAGACAAACAGAAACTCATGAGTACATCGAAAGAATGACATTAGTAATAAAAATCAAAGCAAGTTCCAGTTAAATACAGAAAAACTTGTGGGTGCATTGGAACCACCCAACCTGCGTCTCTCACCAGGTTTTCTTGACGCCTCAGCCTTGACGGGGGCAGTTTGCACAGGAAGAAGACATTGGAAGTCGAAATAGGAGAGAAAATAACCACAGACTCTTTTTTCTGTGTCTTTTCACTTTAAGTTTGAGTAATACCAAGTGCTAGCACATATTAATGGGAAACTATTTCATTAAAAATATTTTATCAACTGTCCCACTCCCACTATACACACATACTTATTTAAAATTTGGAGAAGGGCAAGTTGATCATTTAGAGGGTAAAATTATTCAATTGAAATAATTTGTTAGGCTACTTTAAAAGAGAAATTTAAAAGCATAGTTCAAACATCTATGAGTCCAGAGAACCCTCCCCCCCACCAACAGCTTCACATCCCAAAGCCATCAAATATTAAAAGTAACAGCAATCCTAGAATAGTCCCTGATGATATGGTGCCTTCGGGTAAATTATAACATTCCAGCTTTCCAGAAAGACAAATAGGTAGAAGGCATCGTGTCCAAAGGGAAGACACGTGTGATCGATCTACCAAGTTTATACAGGGAGCCCAAGAACTGGGAAGAATTACTATTTAGAAATGGCTACAAAAGAACCATCTTCTTATGTGCATCCCCCTGTAAGAGAAAGCTGAAACACCCACTTGAGCCAAACATCACCGACGACCAGGCCAACAGAAAACAAGACTGAGTTGAAGCCCTCCCTTTCCTGCCACCTCTGGCCCCACACCCCAGCCCTCCTGTAAGGTAACAAATCCTGGAAACAAAAGCCTGAAATAAGGGACACGTATTTCAAACATATTTGTTTGTTTGTTTTTGTTTTTTCCTTAGTTTTGGCGTTTTCTTTCTATTTGCAGATTTGTCTAATTTCTTACTCGCAGAAAAAGTCAATATCCTGCAACAGGAACAAAAGGAAAGATAGTGAACTGAGCAGGTGGGGCCAGAAAACAGCTGTAGGTTCTTTATTTAAAAATCATACACAATCAAAGGTTAATTAGGATTTAAAATAAGTGATGGTTGAACCCCAAAGATTATGACATAATTATCACTTCAAGTAAAATTTACTTAAGTGAAGGTTATCAAATACATTTTTAATTTATGGTTACTTGACACATTCAAGTTCAATGCTAAGAAGTAGACTGGGCAATGCTTTGAAGTTATTTAGCACAGCAATTAGCTCCAGGAGAATGGCTTCAAAATAACCACCTTACGAAGTAGCTCAAAGGGGATCTTTTATTTCTGTCCTGGGTTTCCAAGACCCCAGGGCACTGGAAAGACTATAATTATTTTCATACATAAGTGGAGTGTATCTACCACAAAAATAAGGCATTCAAAGATTTCTCCAGACTGTATTGATTTTATTAAATACAGGTGGTATTTTTCCCCCCACAGTCTGTCTTTAGCAAATAACCGTGTGACCATCAGCAAGAGTCAGATGATACTATTTTGGTTTCTTTCTTTGTGACATGAATAACTTTCATCTAAAACAAAAGGGGGGTCAGTGGAGAAAGCTGAGTATTCTTTCAATGTTGAGAGTAGGTCTGAATGCTCACGGTCTCAGAAGCCACCATGGGACACTGGGGGCTTTGTAAGTCACCTGATGCATTTTAAACAGCAGCCTGCCTTACTCCGAGATCTGAGCCCTTCTCTGGCCGCCTCTGAGACACTTACCGTGGTTGGGACTTCCTTGGTGGCCTCCTGGTACACGTGTTGCTCCTCAACCAAAGTTCTGGGGAAGTAGCCGACTGTTCCCATCTCGTCCTCTTGGCCGTAGCCATACACCTGCGCCCAGAAGCCGAAAGTCAACGCTGATGTGAGTCTCAAGGAGCCCCAGGCATCCCCTTTGCTGTTAATGAGAGGAACATAACTGCCGATGCCTCACTTTTCACTCTGGATTCGGGGGCCTCAGACTTAAACTTGAAGTTCACTTGTAGCAATTAAGCCAACCCACAGAAACCGGGTTCCTGTTCTTCTGTGGCCCAGCCCTTCTGGTCTCACTACTTCAGCATTTCTTTTTTTCATGCAATCTTATGAGCTGCCTGAACTCTTTTTGGAACCATAAATAAATAAAGTCAGTAAAATTTTAAAAGTAAATTGGCACTTATATTTCTCGGTTTTTAAAAATTTAAATCAACAGACACTTGAGTGAATATAAGGTTTAATTCTTCATTCCCTGAGAACCTATCTGTGGCACTGCCGATGAGGACAGTAAATCAGTCCTGCCTCACCCCTCCCCAGGGCCCCTCCTACACGTTTTAACTATAAACAACGGATTCTTTGGAATTAAACAGGGGGCTAAAGTTTCCTTAAAAATATTGAAACATAGACTGACTGCCAACATACGTGCCTTTACTTGGCAAATCTGCTCAAACAGTTTTGGATAAACTTCAAACTCTTTGGGATGTTCAAATTCCCATATATTTCACTAGTGTTTCTTGCCAAAACATCACACAAACCTACAGTTCATTTTGTTATAAAATTTTCATCGTTTCTTCAAAATGCAATAAAAGCAAACATACATGAATTTTTGTACTTGCATCTACAATCTCTACATTGCTCTTAACAGCTAGTTTTAAACAGTAAAATGCATTGAAGATAGACAATGGAGAAAAAATTAAGAGACCACATGTCAAGATGTGTGTGTATTGTGAATAATCTCATCTTACACTGCCGGCCCAAAATTCTCCAGCTTCATTTTCTTTTACCAGCTTTGAGTAAACATAGATCTGCTGCCCTTTTTTAGCGTTAATGAATCTACAGTCTGGGGCATTATAATCTTCTTGAGCTCTGGCCAGAGAAATAGTATCTGGAAGAGAAAAACCCACAAAACAAAACATTGAATGACTCCATTTTAGGCTCCTGGATTTTAAAAACTGTAAAAAGGCAGAGCAGGTTAAAAAAAACTAGGAAATCAGAGTGGCTAAATAGGTCCCCGTTCACAGCTCCCAGTCAGTTCAAAAGGAGTGAGAACTCCGAAGCATTAAAGCTGATCCAACAGAATCTCAGCCAAGTGGATTTTCTCTGGTGACGCGCTAGAGGTGCAGACCAAGAGACAATGCCAGTCGCATGCACATTAGAGAAGATTCGCTTCAAAGAACAATTAGATTTTATGCTGTTAGTGGGCAGTTTTTCAATTATTTAATAACAATAGAATAAAAGGATTTAAAGAGTCCTTACAGACACACTCGTCATCTGCACAGAGCTTCTTGGAAGCAAGTTTGTCCATAAACATTCCGTGCACGGTGCCTATGGCCACAAGACCTGGGAGGAAAAGTAGCAATAGTCTTGCCATCTTCTTTTTTGCTGCTTAGATTATTGTCCTTTGAGTGGAAGTGGAAACGGACTTCAGTGGTTCCTGTCTTTTATGGGAAAGCCAGACATCTGGGTGGATCCCCTTGGCCAATGGGAAGGTGCCTCTGCTTTCATAACAGCTCCTGGGCTCCACGGGCTATTCAGCATCTGATTTTCCAAAGAGACTTAAATTCTATGTCTTTTTTATACATAAATGATTTCCAAATGGTCCATCATTGTTGAAGCCAGTTTGCCCGGGGTTTATTGCACCAGCAGGGCATTGAACTATGAGAATTTTAAATCTTTTACAAAAAACTTTTAGTTCAATTCTCATATTCTTCCCACTAATGAGCAAAAATGTGCAAACTGTAGGAATCTGTTGAAAATGTCAGATCTACATCTTTGGTACAAATGATTTTGACTTAAACAAATCCAATTAAATATAAGAGTTTATATCACAGATAAATGAAAGTATGCTTAAGTTCGCAAGTCATTCATAATGGATTCTGAGAAACCGGGCCTGTCTTGTAGTCGACATGGATCGTGACACACAAGCCACACTCAGACCCTACGAATGGGGAAAGGAAGGAACAGGTGGGTAAGGAAAATGGAACAATCTTTTCTCTACCTACTTTATCTGAGACTTTTGAAATTCAGTCTCAAAATGTTCAAGGATCATAGGTCCTAAAGAAGGGAGCAAAGCTAGAGGTTTATGTTACGGCCTCCGCAGGCATCTTTCCCATGGAAAGGGTGGCACACCTAGAGGCTGCCAAAGTTGAAGCACTAATACCTGGCTCCATCTAGTCAACAAACATTTACTGAGCACCTACTATGTGCCAGGCACTGTTGTGGGCACTAGAGACATAGTAGTGAATTTAAAAAGTCCCTCATCCCACAGATTCACTTTCTAGGAAAGACATACAGTAGGCTGCTATTTTTTATAGAGTGTGTGTGGCCCGCATCTCTCTCATAAAGTGTCCTGCCTCGTGGTCTCTGGAATAGAGGTGCCTGTCAGGATGCCCCTGCCCACTGGGTAGACGATGAGGTTTCAGAGCAGTGCCTCTCCCTCCCACCCCCCAAATGCAGTCACCTCACAAATGAGGGCCGAGCATTCAACTTACAAAATAATTTTGTACAAAATAATTTTCCAAGGGGGAAACTGGTAACGCAAAATATACTTAAAATATAATTTAAAAAATCAATTGATTGGTGTGTGTGTGTGTGTGTGTGTGATAAAGTTTTTTTGTTTTGTTCATGTGTGGGCAAGGGGGGGCTGTTATTTTCGGGGGAGGGTCTTTTATACAGCTGGTCCTGTTTTGGAATCTTGTTTAATTCCATATTTTCATTGTAGTGAGGTAACTGAGGCCCGGCAAAGGCCAGAACGGCCTTCTTAACCCCCCAGTCTAAAGGTTGCCCAGCAGGATTGTGGTTCGGGGCTGTTTCCATTCATCTGCTGTCAGATTAGAACTGGGATTTTATCGGCAGATTCACTTTAAGAAAAGAATGAATTAGAAATCAGAACGCCAGTGCATTTTCCTTCCCATAATCCAGGGATCTAAGAGGATCTCTGGAAAAAGTAAAGTATTAAATCTTCTTAATCCTGATGGGGCAGCTGTTTTGCAGACTGCTATAGTCTGGAGCCAGCCCTCAACACACACGAGAGTTCAAAGACAATTGCCACTTCAGAGGCACTTTCAGAAGTGGGGACTGCCGTCCGATTGGCACCGCGTGCCCAGGCTCCCCAGGGCAGAGGGGCGCGTTGGGGAAGGCCACACTCACGCCCTCACGGCTCAGCGGACACAAGCCGTGATGGGCCATTAGGTGAAGAGACAGAGAGACGTCAAGCCTTCCGGGTGCTTCGTGGGCAGGCCTGGGATGTCCTGGCGTCCTGGAGAGGGCAGAGACGGGGTGCAGACTAGAGGCCTCTTTGTAAAATTTGGCCCGCAAATAGCAATGGTTCAACTTGCAATGGTTCAGCAAGCAGTTGTGCCTGGCAGCCGTGCTCCAGACGCTGCCAGCCTGGGGGGCCAGAGAATGGCTCTGCCCTGAGCTTGCTCACTGCCTTCCTCTGCATTTTCAGGTGTGTTCCCTGAGCCTTTAATCCCCCATAAGACATTTCTTTCCTTCTGTTCCTAAATTAGCATCTCCCTCTGGAGTCCTTAAAATGGAGACTGTGGCTCCCTTAGGGTCTAAAGATAGGCTTGGGCAAGTGGGTGGGATGGAAGCAGCCCCGTTTCAGAAGCTACAAGGCTCTGAGTGATCTGGCCTCTCTGCCCTCTGAAGTCACCCTGTCACTGTCTCCCTCACTTGCTCTGTGCCCGCCATACCAGCTGCTCTCTGTCTTTTGAAATTGCTGAGCTCATTTCCACTTCAGACCCTCTGAGCTTATTGCCTGGGATGCTCTACCCCCAGATAGTGGCATTCAGGTCTCTGGCCAAGAGGTCTCCACAGACAGACCAGTTTACCAGGCCACTTCCTGCATTCATCAAACCCGATCTATCCATCAGGTGACCAAGGTAAGCTGTCCTATCACATTTATCACTGTGACATGCCTTGTTTATTTACACTACAATCAAAGCTCCATGACATGGAGACCTTGTCTGTCTTGTCCATCACTCTATAATTAGCACTCAGAAAAATATTTAGTACTCATAGATAAATGTGCATTGAATAAATGCATGATTCCCCTGAAATAGTATGTTTAGGTATGGACATGCACATGTCCTTTTTTTTTCTTTTCTGGTGAAAGTCCCTAGGTTTTATCATATTCAAAAAGAGGCCCATTCTCCCAAAATTAATACCCACTGCCTAAATTATTAGGGCAGAGACTCAGGGGTCTTGCCACCAAAGCATGGTCCTCAGATGAGCAACTTTGGCATCACTTTATAGGAATAAAGTCTGTCTTACCTCGCCCCATACCTCCTACGTCTGAATCTACACTCCTACAAGGTGTGCAAAGGGTTCATGTGAACATTAAGGTTTGAGAGTTATTGCTGGAGGGAAAATCGAATCAAGTAAAATGTTTTAGCCAGAACTCCAGGTTCTTCACTAGGTCTTCACTGGATACATTTTTCAGAGACAAAATGCTTTATTAATTACCCAAATGGAGAACACTCTCAGCTTGAAAGTTTAAAATGGGGAAGTGAGCCTCTCAGGAATTTCCATTTTTACACTATCTTCTATTAATACTGCCTTTGAAAAACACAATTTGAAATAATGATCTAATCATTATAACATGCCTGTGAGGTAGAAATCTTCTTTGCTAGTTCTTTCTTAACCTTGATGCACAATGGAATCACCGAGGAGCTTAAAAAATATTGATGACTGGGTTTCAACCCCAGAGACTGGGATTGAACTGGTATGGAGCATAGATTAGAAGATGTTTGAAAATGCTTCCCAGGTGGCTCTAATAGGCAGCCAAAGTTGAAAGTTAAATTCGAAGTTGAGAACCACTGTATTAGATGAATAGCAGTATCCCCTCCCTCCAACTCCTAGCAACCCCCACCCCACAGGTGGGTAAGGGAGGTCGGAAGAGCCCAGTCTGATCGAGTCTCCTTCAAAGAGTAGTCAGCTCCTTTTTCCTTCCCCTTGCTCCGTCTCGAGGCCTTGCTTTCTAAAGTTTGAGTACATGCAGGGAGATCTGAGCAGGGAGTAAATGCACTGAGGTTAAGGGGACTGCGGGAAAGTTACAAATGGGGGGGCTAGAATAAAAGTGTCCAGGTGTGTATAGATCATCTCTGTAAGATTAAGATCATGAGGGAGGGGCTCTGGCTAGGTAGGGGTGGGGGGCTGTCCCTGGATCCTGCTTGGGCCCTCCGCTCTCCTGGCCTTGACCCCTCCGCTCTCCTGGCCTTGACCCCAAGAGGTGCTGCACCGCCTGGACCTGGCTCGAGGGGCAAGCACCAGGGTTCTGGTCGGACATGGGCAAGAAGCACCAGCAGAACAGGTCACACAAATACCCACCTCTATGAGGAACACGTGGAGAAGCCCCCCTCAGAGTGGGAGGCAATGAAGTCACCGAGCTCCCCACCTGCAGCTCGGGCACCACTCCAGCCTCCTAAGGACAGGAGGATCATGACAACAGGACAGACTGTGGACAAAGTGAAAGGAAGGCGAGGAGCAGGCTCCGGGGAAGGAGGGAGAAAGTACAGATGGGTGATGGGGGGGGGGAGCCAGGAGGGGCCCTGTGGGGACAGAGATGGAAAAAGCCACCAGTGCCAGCCCCGCAGGGTTAGGCTCCCTCCCCAGAAGCCAGGCAGCTCTGTAGCCAAATGAGCAGCAGTGCAGACACCTGCTCAAGAAGCTTTGAATCGGCCCAGGAGGCAGGTGCAGAGAAAAGGCCCAGTGCTTTCTTTCCTTCCCTGTGACTGTTATTGCTCCCAGCCATGTCATGATCATTAAACACTCAAAAGATTTTAGTCCCATGAAGGAAAGATCAAGAACAATGACTCCCAGGCCACAGAGCTGAGGGTAACTTCAGACCTATGCTGCTGGTGCTGATTTAGGGCGAACCACAGACCCCTTGCTATAAAGCCGCAAAGAAGCCATCGCACCCATGAGTGAAAATTCTTCCCCGGGGAGAATCCAGGGCCTGGAGCAGAGCGCAGACTTCAGGGCAGACCTGCAGAGGAGTGGAGAGCAGAGACCCAACAGGCCCCTCACAGAGAGGGGAGGTGGCAGCCCGAGAGGGAAGGCTCGGGCAAGATGGAAGCACAGGCCTTGGAGTCCCAGCAAGGAGTAAAGAAAGCCAAAGACACACTTGAAGATAAAGTTAAGGGCAATAATTTAGAAGGAGCAGGAGTGGATTGACGACTGCATCATTAGGGGATCTGGAGGGCAGCTGACCTGGCGGCTTGTTAATAGTCAGCATGACTTTGAAGGAGAACCAGGTGGAACAATGCTGGGACTTGACCCTGTGGATCGTGTTATGACCACTGGGCATGGCCCTGGGAAGGCTTCAGTCTGGAGTGAGTTCTCTGCAGGGCTTCAGAGACTAAAGAACAAAGTAAGTCGGGTGCTGACTCGAATTAGGGGCCCTACAGTTATTAGGCCCCACACTGGCCCCATGTTTGCCAGTATCAGCAAGGACAGATTATCTGACCCCTTCGCCGCATGGGAAGGACTCCGATCTCCCCACCCAACGACTTCAGCATCCAGGAACTTTTGGCCACACGCCAAGGTTATCTGTATGTCACAGCAGATAGTCTACTGGATGTTTCAACAAAAGGATATTCTAGAACCCTGCAAGAGTTGGAGGCGCCATCGCCTGAAGGTGAAGGCCTAGGGGGTGGAAATGCCCATTGGCTTCTGAACGCCACACATGCTGACCACGTGGCCTGGCTCCTTGCTGTGCCAGTTCTTGAAGACTACTGGTCACTTCCTCAGTGAGATGCACTTCTCTGCAGGGGACACAGGTCATGTTGGGAGGGGGTCTGGTGCTCAGCCACTTGCCTTGGGCATCCTGGAGCTCACTGGGCAATCTGGTTTTCTTGTTTCCTCTGACCAGCTTCAGTCAAACACATTAACTGGAGCGCCCGTTTGTGGCTGCCTCCAGTGCTGTGAGCCCCCTTACTACTGGGGTCCAGCCTCCCTGCTGTAATCTCTATTTTTTTTTTTGGCTATGTCCTTTTTCTAGTAATTAATTCAGTTAAATTTTACAAAAGTATGTAACTTGACAACTAGGTTAAACATGTTATTCCTAAGTCAGGCTCTGAATGTGGCAAAGTTTTAGGCATATAAATTATTTTCCTTTTTACTCCACATGCATGCACAAGAGTGAAGGGATGATCTACGTAAGTATAAAAGTCTTTCCATCAGTATACAATAAAAATTCTAAGTGATAAGGAAGTTTTGTTCAAGGAAATATTAAAACAGGAATATGAAAAAATGATACATGATGTCACTTTAGCCCTGGGCGGTGTGGCTCAGTTGGAGTGTCGCCCTGTACACTGAAAAGGTTTTGGATTCGACCCCTGGTCGGGGCATGTACGGGAGGCAGCTGATCTGTATTTCTCTCTCATACTGTTTCTCTTTCCCCCTCTCCCTTCCTCTAAAACCAATAAAAATGTATCCCCAGGTGAGGATTAAAAATAAATATTTAAAAAATGCACTACCCATGCCAAAAACTGTCCACATCTATAAAGATACCCATGGTTTTACCAGCAGAGGCCTGAATCAATGGCCTTAGATATAAGTCAAATGCTAAAGAAAATAAGCTTTGAAAATATTTGAACACTGGTGTTTAAGAATTACAAAAACGTAGCAAGATCAGGATTGGCAATCTTTTGTAAGTCAGCCTATTTTTCTCAAAAAAGATTGTAGACTGTAAAATCTTTCCCTTGGAGGTCCTTCAATAAGGAGCTTCAATACTGACCACGTAGGTAATTCCTTAAAACAACCCTGCTTCGAGAGGGTAAGGGCATAAAATGTGAAGATTAAAGACAGAATTTTTTAAAGTACAGTTACTCCTAAATGGCCTTTATTCAATTAAACACTGAACAAAAAGATTTGTGAAATACCTACAACTAGCAAAATACTATGCATTTATTTGAAGATATGAAGCTCCTGCCCAGGTCTCATTTTCTTTTAACATCCAGGACAATCATTTTTACCACTAATATAAGACTTAGTTTAAAAAAAAAAAAGTGGACTGAGAGCTCATATGCATACAAAATAACGTTCCAGAAAATCTAATCAGGGCTTGATCTAATTCTCCTTTGCTTTTGTTAAAATGGTTCACTGTTTCTCTTTAGCTTCTCCAAAATAATACCAGAAAAGCATCCTATTACAGTTTTATTTACCTTAACATGCGCTCTAGACTAGCATAAGTATTTGATAGACAGAGGGCCAATAAATGAAGTATTATGTAAAAATACATGTAAAAGTTTATTGTACAAAATTAAGCCCTTACATTTCATAGTTTACTAGTAGGTAATTTTTAGAAATCTACACAAAAATTCTACTTTCACTTCTTCCCATTCCCAGCTATTAAAATGGCCTGACCAATTGTTATGAAAACAAACACGATAAATAACACCAAGTCCTTTAAAGACAACTATCCCAAATGTTATTTCTTGGCATAGGTGATCTTCATGGCATGGGATGGTGTGATCTTAAATCCTTGTAAAGCATCTCTGGCAGCTCCAGCCTGTCCATCATTTTCAAATTCAACAAATGCAATATCATGCCTTCCAGGTACCAAACGTACTTCCTTGAAACCAGGGAACCTATGAAGAAAAACAATTTACATATATGTAAATAATTTTTAAATATGTAAATACATAAATGTCTATTCAGTGTTTAACTTTATTAAGCAACTTCCTGAAAAGCATCATATCCTACCAAGAATCCTGAGTAGCATAAAAGAACCTAAAATATAATTAATACCATTATAATTAAAATATAATTAACACCATGAAAGAATTGCAGGAATAATTATATTCTTATCACTATATCAAAGCTTTGTTTTCTGTTTTACTCATCAACTAGAATTAATAATTCAAACATCAGAGATAATTCAGCTTTTTATTTGCTAAATCTGCAGACTGACTTCGATTCATGGTTGATCACAGACCAAATCAACGGACCTATAAGAAATTATTGATGTGTGATACACAAATGGATTCAACAATGCAAGTGCTATTTGTCCTGTCAGGAGGCTCTTGGAACACAGACTTTTTAATAATAAAACTTACTGATTAAACAGCATGGATAACATCATCTCATTAGTCTCTTCTGGTAAATTATTAAGGAATAAAATATAGTTTGGAGGGTAATCAGGGACCTGTTAAAAAGAAAAAAGGCAAAGTTAGCTTATAAGTATAAAAAATATGTAAACCATTTGGTTCTTACATAAAATCTAAACTTGAGAGCTACATTGTAGTTTATTGGGGCTTATGAAACCTCACTGCCTCAAACTTTGAAGCTGACAACCAGCCACACCAGAGGAATAAATACGAACCTATAGTAACTAAGCAAAGCAGACGTGCAAGTCACTTAACACAAATCTGGCAAATCGTAAATCTTATCAGTTTTCAAGTATTTAACCATATTTAAAACAATATTTGAGTTTTAAGCATCTGCAAGTCAGTCATAATAGGAGGATTCTGTCATCTGGATTACATAACTGAAAGATCCTAACAAAACTAGAGAAGGCAGCAATGTCACCATCCTCCAGCTGGTCACCCAAGTAATAACACTGCTATTCAATTCTCTGCATTACTGTTTACTACCTCCCAGCATTTAAGAAAATTCAGACCCACCAGTTGGTGACTTCTAATGTTTTCTGAAAGTAAATGATTTATACATGGCACCTAGTTACACACAAGTAAGTAGAAATAAGCACTGTTACTAGCCATTAAACTATTTGATACTCTACCCTGAGGAAATGAGGAACTCCTGTATATAAGAAAAGGCTTCTCTGTCTTCAGGCTAATTTTATGGGTGGGAGAGATGAAGTGTAAAGAATAACTTAAGTGAACAACTTAAGGCTTAGAGAATTCAGTGCTGGCATTTGTACAGTGGACTATGATTGTTAAAAGAGTTCAAAGAAGAAAAGTAGGTAATAAAAGAAAATACAAGTAACTTAAAATCAGAGCAGCAAAACCTCAGTGATGTAAGGTATTCTCTAAATTAAAGATACATTAAAGACTGACAGCTGTCAGAGGGGAGGTGGATGGGACAGGATGAAAGAAGGTGAAGGAAGTAGCCAAAGAACATACATGCACAGCCCATGGACACAGACAACAGTGTGGTGAGGGCCAGAGGGAGGGGAGGGTGGGGTCTGGGT